GCAGTGGTTTTCCTACTGCTTCAGTTACTGTTAAAGCAGATTGTTTAATTGCTCCCTCTGCCTGGTGTCTCTGAAAGCAGATCCCTGCCTGAGCCGTGAAGGGATCAGCACATACGGCCGAACGGCAGTTTCACAAGTCGACGAGAGAGAAAGCCTGCCACCCCACATTTGCTGTATATTGTAAGAAGCGGATTTAAATACATTTCCCAATACTGATATGGGATGTAAAACTGAAGCATAGGACCCCAATAAGAGAAGACTTTTCTTCCCTGTCTGTAATTTGTTGTCTTTCCTATTTGCTGATTCTGACGCAGTGATGTTAGCCTGGAAAGGTCCTTAAACAACACCTATTGAATTACCTCTCTCTACAGTAGCATCGCATACAGCTACTTTAACATGTTGGTCTTGTTTAGTCTTTAAAATGCCCAGTGAATGTTGCATCGCTTCATTACCCTGAATATTTTTTGAAGTCTCCAATACAAACCTGCTGTCAAACTCAGTGCTACTTGCCTTACCCTCGAGGGGAAGGGAAGGATGTGGGCATTGCCCTCATTTCTTTTGCGTATTAGCAAATCATAACTGTGTTTTCTTTCTCTTTTCCAGAAAAAAAAAAAAAAAGAAAGAAAATCTAATTCCATGCTTCCTATAAATTGTACCTTCCTTTAGAGTTGCAATCCTCCTGAGCATATTTTTGTTGGTGTGACAGATTGTGGCTGAGCCTTATTCATACAGACAGCTGGATGGCTGAGAGGAGAATTACACCAGATGCTTCATACACAGTGCTGTAATAAAGATAAATCCCTAAATGGGATTTTCCCTCCTCTGTTTTTCTCTTCCTTCCCCCTGCCCTGGCATTGACCCTTTCAGGTCTCACTGCCCCCATCCCCCCCAGCCCATTCTGTAGGGTTGTCACCTGCCTACTCCTCCCCTGTTTATGTTCCTGCTTGAGCTCCAAGAGTGTTTTGCACCCACCTTTATTTTATTTCAGTATTTTTATTCCTAACAGGTTTTTGTACTCTCTGACTATAAATGGAAGTGCTTCTGTTCCCTCTCAGTATGGCCATCACCCACGGTTTGATAGTTCTTGAGAGTTTACCATTAATTTTCTGATCAGAAGTTTAAGAGGGACTGGTGTAGGACATACTTGTGAGGCTCCACTTGAAACGTCTCACCAGTTTGACCACAAGCTGCTGATAACCATTGCTTTTTGTACTTATCTTAAGGCCCTTCACATACAAGGGCACTTTTGATTGCTGCCTTATCGAGCTCATGGTACGGTGCAACCACAGATTCTCTCTTGACCACTTACCCAGCGAGATAAGGACTTTGGTTGGTCTGAGGTGGTTTCTTCCCGCCAAACCAGGCTGCCAGAGACCTCCTCACTGTTTCTTGCAGCTTCCTGGTCCCCAAGGTACTAGCAAATCAATCATTTAATCTTTTACTCTAGCATCTTCCTTGGTGTTGCACCTAGGCACCCTGGTCTGTGATTCCCCAGACCTTTTTTTCCACTCTAATTTGGCTTTTCTCTTTCCTTACCTGTTGTGGTGACTTGACCTTGGCTGGACTCCGGGAACCTGCCAAGATGGTCTGTCACTCTCCTCCTCAGCAGGGCAAGGGAGGGAGTGTTCCCTCTCAGTATGGCCATCACCCACGGTTTGATAGTTCTTGAGAGTTTACCATTAATTTTCTGATCAGAAGTTTAAGAGGGACTGGTGTAGGACAGACTTGTGAGGCTCCACTTGAAACGTCTCACCAGTTTGACCACAAGCTGCTGATAACCATTGCTTTTTGTACTTATCTTAAGGCCCTTCACATACAAGGGCACTTTTGATTGCTGCCTTATCGAGCTCATGGTACGGTGCAACCACAGATTCTCTCTTGACCACTTACCCAGCGAGATAAGGACTTTGGTTGGTCTGAGGTGGTTTCTTCCCGCCAAACCAGGCTGCCAGAGACCTCCTCACTGTTTCTTGCAGCTTCCTGGTCCCCAAGGTACTAGCAAATCAATCATTTAATCTTTTACTCTAGCATCTTCCTTGGTGTTGCAGCTAGGCGCCCTGGTCTGTGATTCCCCAGACCTTTATTTCCACTCTAATTTGGCTTTTCTCTTTCCTTACCTGTTGTGGTGACTTCACCTTGGCTGGACTCCGGGAACCCGCCAAGATGGTCTGTCACTCTTCTCTTCAGCAGGGCAAGGGAGGGAGAAAATAAGACGGAATAAAATCCTTTTTCTCTTTCCTTACCTGTTGTGGTGACTTGACCTTGGCTGGACTCCGGGAACCTGCCAAGATGGTCTGTCACTCTCCTCCTCAGCAGGGCAAGGGAGGGAGAAAATAAGACGGAATAAAATCCTTGCGGGTCAAGATAAAGGCAGTTTAATAAAGCAAAAGCAAAGGCTGTGCTTGGGAACAAAGTAAAACAAAAGATTTATTGTCTACTTCCCATCAGCAGACAATGTCCAGCCAATTCCTGGGAAATAGGGCTTCTGGAAGCATAGCAGTTCCTTTGGAAGACAAATGTTGTAATAATGAATGCTCCTCCCTCTCCTCCTGTCTCTTAGCTTTTATTGCTATGCAGACATCATAAGGCATAGCATATCCCTTTGGTCAGTTTGGGTCAGCTGTCCTATGTCCCCTCCCAAGATCTTGCCCACCTGTAGCCTACTGGTGAGGTGGGAATGTCGGAGAGACAGCTTTGATGCTGTGCCAGCATTGCTCAGTGGTTGCCAAACCACTTGTGTGTTATCAACACCTTTCTAGTTACTGATACAAAGCACAGCACTATGAGGGCTGCTTCTGGGAAAAAAATAACTCAATCTCAGCCAGACCCAATACACTGTGCTTCTACTTTTTCTGATGTGTTACTTCATAGAATTGTAGAATTGTCTAAGTTGGAGGGGACCTTTCAGATCATCGCATCCAACTATTAATACTACCAAAACCTCCACTAACCCATGTCCCTCAGCACCACATCTACAAGTCTTTTAAATACCTCCAGGGATGGTGATTCCACCACTTCCCTGGGCAACCTGTTCCAATCTTTGATAACAGCTTAATTGAAGATATTTTTCCTAATATCCAATCTAAACCTCTCCTGGCATAACCTGAAGCCATTTCCTCTTGTCCTATTTCTTGTTACTTGGGAGAAGAGACCAACACCCACCTCGCTGCAACCTCCTCTCAGGTAGTTGTAGAGAACGATAAGGTCTCCCCTCAACCTCCCTTTCTCCAGACTAAACAACCCCTTGGTGTTAGGTCATTTGCTTTGCAAGCTGCCTTTAATAGTTTAAATAGTTTTTAATAGTCCACTTATCAAAGGGGTGACCAATAGTGCGACCAGAGCGAATAGAGCAGTGTACACCAGCCAGACAAGTAACTTCCAGTAACATGGACATGGGTGACCAGAAAAAGATTGGAGGGGAAAAGCTATCTGAACTCACTGTTTGTCAGGAAAGCTTTTGCTCGAATCTTAAGGCAGTGTGCCAGCGTTAAACTTTCCTTAATTATTTACTCCTTCCTGCCAATTTATCAGGCAATTATATTTCAACTCATTTTCTGCAGAGATTTTCCTTACCCGCTACAAAGTGAATTATTTACTCCTTCCTGCCAATTTATCAGCAATTATATTTCAAGTCATTTTCTGCAGATATTTTCCTTACCCGCTACAAAGTGCTGGTACTCTAAAACACTGTGGCTGAGCCTCACTCATACAGACAGCTAAAACAGTATTCAGACAATAGAGTATATTACTGTTTTAGAGGATACAGACTCTACAACAGTATTTGCAACAAAATATGGAATTCCCATAATTGGGAATTTTAAATTGACTTAAAAAATAAATAATTGTCTGTGGTACTGCTAGCAAGCCAGCAGGTGGGTCTACAGCCGCCTGGGTGTTGCTACCATGATGTGAAGCATAGGTACTGCATGGAGAAATTGGACTCCCGATGAGCTCACAGGTCCACAGGGATGGCAACACCAGCAGTGGTGGCAGGGAACCTACTGGCAGCAATTAAAAGCGACACAAAGGGAATGAAAGAAAGCTCTGCTCTTGTTCACCCTCCAAACTCAAAAACCAATGTTATTAATGTAGGCAGCAGTGAGATTCCCTGCCCCATTTGAAGTTTATACTGATCTACCAAAAATGCATTTATAAGTTTTACATAAGAGGTTTGTATAACATAGGGGTTTATATAACATAATGCACCAAAGACTTTAACCTATGAATTTCACATAAGCTGTTTCAAGTAGAGGGGATCAAACCATATGACGTTTCACAAGTTTGTATTGTAAAGTAACGATTTTACTAAAATTATCTTATTATAGTGCAGAATTCACCGAAGACTAAATAGTATAAAGCTTAATACCTCAGGTTGGTCTACACTTGAACTGTTTTCTGTAGTCTTTAAAAAAACAAACCTCAGTAACATTAGACATGTCCTAGAGCTCCCTCTGGTCTCCAGAGATGATAAAATGAGTTTGCTTGCAAATACATTAGTCATGTACAGTCCTTGCCGCAACACTGAACAGACGAGTGACTGGGAAGACGAGGAGCACAGCATTAGAATTGCTCCACTTGCCAAAGCAGTCTCCAAATAAGCTGTTATGCTGCCTGCACCGACCCTGCCCAGCAACCCTAGCACACCACAGTGCAGCCCCGTGCTGCCAGGCAAGGACCACCAGGCACATCGCTTCTGCATCGGCAGTGGTGACAGCTGGAAGAAAGTTGGCCTGATGACTCCGAAATAGGTATTCAAAAGGCTAAACACAAATGTCCTTCTTCCCCTGCTCACATGTATGGTGTGAGAGACTGGGCTTGGGCTCCCTCATGTTCTGCCTCCCAGCCCAGATCTTCTCACCCACCCCAGTCTGCAGCACAATTTTCCTCTCCATGTTCTCAAATTGAATTTTAGACCCATTCCAAGAGTACTGAATTGGGTAATTTACTCAAGTTGCAGGTTGCTGCCCACCGGGCCCCAGGAAAAAAAAAAAAAAAAAAGATTGGATTCAACAGTTATCTTTATTTCCTCTCTTATTCTCAGTATTATTCTCAGTAAACCTAAATTTGCACCCAGACCCATCCGCATTGAAGAACACTTTCAAACAGAGCTTATAAACCCAGAGCTAATTCACTCCTAATTAGAAGTTGGGATTCCTGGCAGAGGGACAGATGCTGAGATGCTTTTTAAATTTGGAAGAGACCCAGCATAAAGGTGCCAAAGCTAAAGCAGAAAAGCTTGTGCGTTTTGGTTTTTGTTTTTTTTTTCTTTTAACTAACGCTATTGTTATGATACAACTCCTGGGGCGGGTACACACGGGGCTGGCTCCTGCAGGGAGGGCTGCTCTCTAGTGGAAAGATGTTTCTCATGCCTGCTGTGGCACTTGCAGTACTTATCATCTAGATGGCTTGCCCTCTGTGAGGTTGCTTTTCACCCTGAAGAGGTCTCCAGTCCCACCACGGCTGTAGGCTCCAGGGCTCGGGAAACTAGCAGAAGCGTGTTTAGTGTTGCCCCCCACAGGGCTGGCCACAGGAACATGTAGCTAGTGGGGAAACATGAAGAGAGCAGAAGCTCGTCAAGAAGCCTTTTCATTGCTCACTAGCTAGCACAGTCAAGGGGGAGGATGATTCCAATTTGGGGGCCTCTCCCCCTTGTTGGCCAGGGAGAGGCAAGGAGGTGGACAGAAGAGATGGGAAGAGCACAACCAGTGCCCACGGAGGGCTGCTTGCATGCCCGCACCTGGGGGACACACAAACAGCCCCATGTTCTGCTCTGAATGAGAGGAGGCACCTTCCTCACCCAGCATTTAAACATCACTGGTCTGTCCCTGATTGCCTTTCAAAGGCTCATGGTTTCTTGTCCCTGCAGGTCCCCTGGAAGGCAGTGCTGAGCTTGCACATGGGCGAGCGTGGAGCTGGGGTTTGCCAGCGTGAGCAAGGTGTCTTTGCTGTTGCCACCAGCATCGGTCCTACCAGGAGGCGTGAGGAAACTGCTCTGGGTACTACGATCACTACTGGGCTAGTCTAAGTAGAGGAGAGGCTCGGTGGCGGGGTGGGTTTGTGACCTAGAACCCATGTGTCTTAAAGTACTGGGCTCGCCTAATCACGCTGTTGACGTAGTAGTTGTCTCTGTCGCATGGGTCTTGCTCGTAGACCTGGAAGTTGCCCATTTTTACACGGTAGTTGCAGATTCCCCCTGGAAAGAGTTAAAAGGAGTTGTTACAGGCTTATAAGTAAGAGATAGACACGTAAAAGCAAAAATTCCTAGCCAGAAGGGCCACGCATCTCACCAAAACCACGCAACTGCTTGGGAAATTGCTAATTGTGCTTTACTATCAAAAAGTGACTGATTTTGCAAGAGCCTTATTTCTACAGTGAAGGAACCCATGACTCTCCAAATGCAGGTGGGAATGGCATGCTGGTCCGAGAAAAGAGTGTAATCTAAAAAGGCAAGGATGGGAGTGCAAGAAATAACACAGGGTGAAACCAGCAGGCAGGCAAGGGGGACTACAAGCAAACCTGGATCCCACACTTCCCTGGCACAATCAACAGCCTGCCACGATAAGCCTGTTGTGTTGTGGTGACTCACTTTCTGCCTTCCCCAGTGGCTTTTGTTTGGTTGGTTTCTACCTTATTTATCCACCTGACAGCCATTTCACTTGTAGGATGAACAGAAAAGAGGGTAACTCGAGGCCTGTTCACTTTCACTGAGCACAATGCCTTTGCAAGGAATTTAAGGTGGTCATGGAACCAGCCATTCACTGGTGGTGGCCCAGCTGCTCGAGGTAGTGGCCCTCTGTGGGCATTTGTCACTGGAGTCAGGGGGCAACCTGCCGACACTGTGCCTGGTAACCTTCACCCAAAGCTACATGGGGTGCCTCCATGCTGCTGTGGCAGCTCCCAGGCTGGGCTGGTTTCCTACTGCTTCCTGCTGCAGAAAAGCTGCCAAGGAACTTGGCGTCCCACCACAACCTCTGTTCTGCAGGCAGAAGCATCGGAGGCTGTGTTTTGAGCTGGAGACATAACTTCTGTATTCAGACTTCTTGCTGGTATGTGGTTTTGGGTTCCCCCTATTAACTAGAAAATTCTGAGGGGCTTGGTTTTGGTATTTTTTTGGTAAGAGATGCTGTAAAATCTGCCAGACTGATGCTCTTTTTCCCTAAAAGTGACACCAACGAAAGCACAGCACTCCCATCACTCAGGACCTTCTGCCTTATTGTAATACAAACAACAAGTCATCACCTGGTATTGATTAAATGTTGCTAGAAATCTTAATGTGGTATTTAAATGCCAACAAAAAGATGCAGTAACAGACCAGCATGCAGGACCCACACCAATAGAAAGTCCTTCAATGTGCGTACTGAGACCCAAATTGCAAACCAAAGTGCTGACAGAGAGCAAAAAGCAAAAGAAGGCTGTTAATTTTTTTCTGGTTTAAGAATCTCAGCTAATCATGCCTTGCCAGGTGCAGGTAATGCAGCTTTCCCTCTTTGCTTCTAGATGTAACCTCGAGCATGTCCCTTTCTGGTACATAGCCCATCACGTACCTCTCAGCTGCTGGTCCCAGGTCCAGCTAGGATTTCTTGCCCGTACTTCATTAATTGCAAGAACCAGGATAGTTGAGCACTGGTTTATGTGTTCTTCACTGTCCCACATTCCAAAAGGTTGGTGTTGCTGCCTGCCAATCTAGAAAAGTCAAGCAAGAAAATGGCGTTCCCTCTGAGCACAACCATCACTGTAGCTTCCCCCTCTTCTTTGTACGCCCGGGATGTTACTCCTGGAAGCGACCTATTCAGGACGACACTTAAGCACAAACTTTGATGTAGTAGGAATGCATTTAAGTGCTGTCTCGAACACAGAACAGACGTTGTCTAAGGTGAAGATGTAACCTCGAGCATGTCCCTTTCTGGTACATAGCCCATCACGTACCTCTCAGCTGCTGGTCCCAGGTCCAGCTAGGATTTCTTGCCCGTACTTCATTAATTGCAAGAACCAGGATAGTTGAGCACTGGTTTATGTGTTCTTCACTGTCCCACATTCCAAAAGGTTGGTGTTGCTGCCTGCCGATCTAGAAAAGTCAAGCAAGAAAACGGGGTTCCCTCTGAGCACAACCACCACTGTAGCTTCCCCCTCTTCTTTGTACTCCCGGGATGTGACTCCTGGAAGCGACCTATTCAGGATAACACTTAAGCACAACCGTCCTGATGTACCTGCATCAAGCCGTACTTCTGCCGGCCCTGGTCCCAGCCGTTTTCCAGGAGCAGGCCAGCGCGGCTCTCCTGCGAGATGATGGCAGCGATGAGCGCCGGGTCCAAGCAGAGGTTTCTGGCCACTCTCTTAATTGGCACCTCATATTTCCTCAGGCGTATGATGTCTGCCTCAGCAGTCCTCTGTACCATGGCAAGCCCTGCGGCGTTGGAAAAGGTAGACTTACACACCCTCCCATCCAAAACCCTCGCTTTCCCTTTGAGCGGATGTCTCAAAGGAGTGACTCCAGTCTTAAAGAAAAAGCAACTACACCCTGTCAGGCAGTGGTGCTTGAGGAGCAAGCACAGCCCTGTTGGCTCTGACCATGGCCAGGAAGCTGCTGTACCAGTAGCCAAGGATAATGAGGGGAAGAGGGTGGCTTCTCAGGAGGTGGGACCACATGTTTGTGGTCCTCTTCTGCTGCTGCTCCACTGGAAATGCACCTCTGGAGTCAGAAAAGTGAAATTTCAAAATGCATTTGGAAAAAGCAAGAGATGCATCACTACTGACCAGCCAAACCGCAGCTAACAGCTATGTTTTTAGTCTGTGGATAGAAAAGTGGGGGGTTTTTTAAGTAATTTTGGGACAGCTTGAAAACAAGCAAGTGAATTCAGATCCATGCTTGGACACACCCCCTGGGGGTCTGGGAGGTCTGAACCTGATGTATTCAGCTGTGCAGTGACATGGGGCAATAACAGCAGGCAAGAAAGAAGGAAATGGGAAGGAGTTACCAAAAACAGGTTACCCAGAGGTAGGATGGCAACACCTGGGACCTTCCCCCTGCAAAATGTCTCTGGCAGGTCCTTGCTGGCCAGCTCAGCCAACACACCAGCACTCAGGACCTGGCTCTGCTCATCTTCCCCTTTGAGCAGACAGGCCCCAGGGCTCTGTGAGGATGCTGATGCTAAAGGCCTGGTGGATGAAGAAGCAGTTACAATAGAAAAGGGGTTAGGCTATTTCCCTTTGCTTAGAGGCCGAGGATCCTGTCTGAGGGATGTGACATCTGTCTGCCTGCTTCCCGACAGGTCTGGAGGTTTCACAGCACCTGCCATTCGTGGAGGGGAAGTGTTGGTTTTCCCCTTTTGGCTAATTGAATAGTTTCACCACATTTAATGGAAGGCAAAGTGTCTCTCTGTCAGGTACAAACAATTTGACAAATCAAGCAATGAACGATACCTACCACAGTCTGGGGCTCTTACGGCTGTACAGGAGATCGTGGGGGGCTGAAGAGCCCTTATATCGCCATAGCAACTGTAACTCATGGAGGGAGCTGAAAAATTAAACAGAGGTGTTTGAACACGCAAGATCTCAGACCAATATCGTACAGCATGCTGCGAGTGACTACAAGTCAAGCATGAGGGATTCATCCAGACCCATAATCCACATCATCTTGTGTTGGCCATGCTTGCATCTTTCTCCATCAGCAATGTTATCAATGAAAGCTAGAGAAATTTGCTCTTTTCTAATTGAATAAGTCAAAACAAATGAAGCTAATGACAATTTAGATGAATAGGTGTCTGCTCCATTAGGACTAGAGGCCAGTATGGGAGAGGGCAACTGCAGCCTCTGCATTTATTTCAGAGGGTTTTTTTCCATTCGATGCCATCCAATGTCCCTAAGATGCTAGCTGGCAGTACCTGAGCATCCTGGCTGGAATCACTTCCTTGTATCCCTCTGTAACTTGGTGAGGAATTAATTCAGGAGAGTGCTTTCCTCAGCCTGGGCCAATTACCCTGCTTCCTCAGTTACTGAGGGAGGGATAGCCTCCATCAAACAGCCTGCAGCGTTTGTGACACCATTTCCAAGTAGGCAGAGAGATCAGATAAGGTTAGCTGGGAAAATCAAGAGGAGGTATGTCTGTGACTCCCATTTGGTGTCAGTCCCATGCTCCAGATGTGCTTATTTAAGGGATGCAGGTGGGTGGCAAGCAGCCAAGGAGCTTCAGCCACACAGGGTCTGAGAGCATCCTGCAGAAAGGAGACCTCAGGCCTAACCACACGCCTCCTCTCTGCAGTCGTTCTGCAAAGAGTTCCTGGGGGGCTTTCGATAGCACACCAAACCCAAACCTCAGCTCACCAACAAGGGCCATAAGGCCCAGCAAGAGCAGTGCAGGGATCATGGTGATGGCTCTCCTCAGATGTCCCAGAAGACCTGGAAATACAGCAGTTTGCAAAACGTGAAGAAATCAGTACTGATTTTCAACAGCCCTGAAGCAAAACTTGCATGCCAAAAGCTCCCACCCCGAGGCACCAGATGGGGATGGCATTAGCTGAAGATGGGTTGGGGAGCAGAGTCACCCTCACCGCAGTGCAGTCTCCCCCTCACCCCTAGCACTGGATGCAGCCGCCAGCTTCACAGAGTGGTGGTGGGAGGAGAAGCAAGTGATGGGAGCCCCATCTGCTCTTAATTTCTTCCTTGTTTGGGGGATACAGGCTTCTTCTGAAGCTGAATGTCTCCTCCATCTCGTGTACCACTACACGGTCACACTGAGAAGGAGTCTGGGGAGCTTGGGAGCAGGGAGATCCCCTTTGGCAGCCTGGGACCTTTTTCAGCCCCTGTCACTTTATACCACTTGATCACAAGACCCCTCCTGAGCACCCTTATCATGTCTTTACAATGAGAAGACACCGTACATTTGCTTTAAATATGTATGTGTTTGAAGTCTAATGTGCATTCATTCCTTTGCCTCTCTGTTCAAAAGGCAATGGGATTTTTGCTTGGCTTTTGGAAAAATGAGTTTTCAAAAATCAAGCAATATGACCTTTAATCCTCTGCTAAGAGCACGCAGGGCAAAGATTTTGCTGGTAAAATAATATTTCTGCATTAATTCCTGTGTGTGGTAATGGCAGATAATCACTTTTGTAATAGATGTGTCTGTTGTGCTTATTAATAAAATCCCAAGATGTCACCAGATAGTAGCTATCAACTAGAAAAAACATTGACTGCACTTGCCTTGCTGGTGAATGCATCTAAACTGAGCAGTTTTTATGGCTTACAAATGTTCTAGGTTTTTTGTTTCCCCCAAGAGGGTTTCAAATACAAAATACACCCCAAGTCTTGTAGGCAATCATCATGCAATGCTATTAACACTTGAAAATGCCTTATTGATTTTAATGATGTGTGACCTTTTCTCCAGCCTGTATTTCCATTACGAACCAGACTGCATGGATGCACAAACACAAGGAGCCCACCGGTGTCATTGGAAAGACCCCCTTGTCCTGAGTGAGCTTATTCAGGCCAGCAAATACCCACAGCCAGGGCTAGGTACACGCGGTAGCACAGTTTGAGCTGCTAACACTGAGCATTTGTCATTGGAAAGACCCCCTTGTCCTGAGTGAGCTTATTCAGGCCAGCAAATGCCCACGGCCAGGGCTAGGTACACGCGGTAGCACAGTTTGAGCTGTTAACACCGAGCACTCGCAAGCCCAGATCCATATAGTTGACCCAATACCCATGAATTCAATGACAAATCCATATGGGGTCCCATTTAAAGCTACAGGCTGTAGCTGTTTCCACATGCAGAAAATGGCTAGATTATTAAGTTATCATCAGTCTTATTTCCCCCCCCTCCCCCTTTCCCACAGGCCTTAGACAGAAACAGAGTAGCAATCACAATATCGACAAAATGCTAAATCAAAACAAAATCAAGGCTCCTGGCTCTAAATAAATATTCTACAGGTTAATTCAGACTCACCTGTCTTCAGCTGGCCTTCCTCTGAGGCAGGTCACTTGATGACTTTTATATATATGTGGATGAAAAGGTACCCACCCTATGGGCTGTGGAATGTTAATTCCTACCTAGCGTGATGACATTTGTGTTAAAATACAGTAAGTAATATATATTAAGAGCTTAGAACTCTTATGATTCCTTTCATCCAAAGTTTTGCACAAGCGGTGGTTAGTAACACTCGGGACAACTCTGTGAAAGGAAATAAATACTGTTTTTCCTCAATCAATGAACACATCGATGCACAATAAATGACTTGCAGAAAGCATTGCAGTGAATCAGTGGCAGAGGCCAGGCAAAAATCAGATCCCTGTCTAGTCCTCTCCTTGCTTTGCATCTCAGGTCAGTCTGGACACATTTCTGGAAGGGTTTTTGTCTTCTTTCCTCAACGATTCCAGGTTGACAAGCTTCTAACTGAGTACCGTGCTTTCATATGAATGCCAAAAAGGACAATTAAGGAAGAGCATCTCACAGCTTCATGGCTTGCATCGAGCCTAATTCAGGAGGGTGACTTGAATACTTTGAGAGCAGAGGCAGGGTTTGACTTTCAGGCTTGGGGAGCAGGATGCTACAGCTGAAATGAAGAGGAAGGGAATGGTCCCTCAGCAGCTGAAGCCAGTGGGGGGACACAGAGGGTCTCTGAAAGACTTGTACCATGCGGCCAAGACACTTTTCATGCATGCAGAATGTCTGAGTCGCTTGGAGATGGAAAGAGGCTGATGCCCTCTAAGCCGTATTTTGACGGCTTCCCCGTATTTTTCTCTTGTCCACATTCTGTTCAGCATGGCTGGAGGCTAGGAAAGGAAGATTTTCTTCCAATAGCTTTCTCCTTGCTATTTTATACATCACAAATCCATCAATTCCCTCTCTTTTAGGCTTGAGACATGGTGGGTAAGAAACACTGTTTGGGCCAGATACTAATTACTGGGTTCAAAACCAAGCGATGGTTTATTAGCCTGTAAAGCACAGGAGATCATTTGACAGCCGATGACCCAACAGAAGGGATGTACACACAGCTGTGATGTGATGCTACCTCTGATAGGCTGAAGAGGGGATGAGTTAGAAGGCATCTTTCTGTGTAAGACTAAAGCAGCTCCTTCTAAATGGCAGGACTTCATAAAGAGATATCCAGAAACACGCTGGGCTGATGTCCCTGAAAGACGTTCCCTTCTTTCATAACACCATTGAACCTCTTTATATTTTTCTTTATTATTCTTGGTATTTTGTTTAGAAGCACAAGTTTCTGGAATTCATATGAGACAGTAGAAAGACAGCAAAATGCTAGCCCTCATGGCTGATAGTAGGAAAAATACATGAAAGCTATGGAAATATGACATAATTATTGAATTAATATTAAAGAAAAAGGACATAAAGGTTAGAATTAAAAAACAAACAAACCAACCAACCTGTAGTTTTAAGCCCGTTTTGCCTTTGTCTAACTTTTAAACGTAAAGGGTGCCAGTACATACTCCCCTTCTGCTGGATTTTGGTCAGCACAGTGTGTGGTTGGGAGGGAGGGGATGGAAGGTCAAGGAAAGAAAAGGTCATTAAAATATCATTATCAAATGATATTTGCGTTTTTTTAAGCGTAAGAAGCAGGAAAGCTCCCCGGTGTTCACAGGGGCATCCTGGCAATAAGCTGCATTTGGTGACCACAGACATGGCTTCCCCGTGGTCTTCTGCTGACACAGAGTGCACATGAAATGCTACTGGATGGACTGAATGGCATTTTCCACCTGTTTTACATAAGCTTGAAAGGGGTGCACTGGAGACCTGAAGCACACCAAGATCCAATACTACCAGTTCTTTCCTACTCACAGATTTTCACTTCCCCCCTGCCCCATGCCAAGTGATCTACCAGGGTGAATTTGGTTTTTTTTTCATTCCACTTAATAGAGATGTGATCAAAATGGAGCATCACTTTGAAAAGCATTATGTCTTGCACATGCTGTTCTCCTTCAGGTCGAGGGTGATATCATCACATTTCACTGGGCGGTGAGAATGCTATCTAAAATTACCTGGAACAATACCCGTACTAATTACTGTCTCTGTTGTGAGTTTCAACTCTGGTTTCACAACATCTGCAGGGAGATGCATTTCTCAGGCTGTTTCTTTTGTCTGGGACGTAATTATACATAACACCAGGTATTCACAGACTTTATAACTGCTTTATAGGGCACAACAGCTGACGCATGTCATGGATGCCTACCACTAACTGGCCAGTTAAAGATGCATCTGTAGCACCACCTCAGACAAGCCCTCTAGAGTTGCTTTTCCCAACTTCTAAAGGGATACGGTCAGTTTAATAACTACATTTCCACTGATTTTCTTTTCTACATCTAGTCTGCCTGTAAGTAATGACAGCAAAGGTCTTCAGACTTGTAAGATGTGGGGTGCTCAGCTTTCACTGTGCTTAGAAATGCATGGGTGCTGAGAGCCCCTATATCTTCCTTTATCTTGCCTTTCTGAAAAATGCAGGTGGGCCTTGAAATGACATCCTGCTCTGCACACAGCACCTCTCTAGTCATCACGTGAGATAACTAAGACCAGAGGTGTTTATGAGGGGGAAAAAAAAAAGTATTTCTCTTTCTGTTCTAAAACAAGATTTTGAATTTTACTGTAGGAAAGGGGTTCTAGCAAAGAGGTCACTGGACTAGATCTCATGAGACCACAGTTCCCTTCCCAGCTTAAAGAGAGATCTATCACCTAATGTGAGTCATGTGAAGTTCGAGCCAGGAGAGGGTTTATGCTCATAAAACATGAACCAAGACACTGTCATTCTCCAAAGCCGTCTCCCAAGTACTCGGATGAGACATAATTCTGCTCCTGTCTGGGTCTAAAGTGGCTGAGCCAGAGGAGCTTGGTCCTTACGTCCCAAAGTCTGGGCACTAGACTTGGCATCCCAATGCCAAAATCTCTCTGTGAGTGGGAGTTTACAGCACACACTCATGCACTTACTCACCAAAAGTGGCTGCGATGCCCGCTTTGTTTAAACCAGCCACAGCAGAAGCAAGACCAATCTTGGAAGATACCCTCAGGAAGGCAGAAACCTACATTAACCTCCCTTTTGTGTAAAGCAAGTATACCCCTCACCGAGACTGGATGCACGTGTGTCCTGAGTGTCCTCAGCCTGTCAAGGTTGTGTTACTGCACAGCGGGGCACACCAGAGCCACAGGGGAAGTTGGTGGGAAGACAAGAGAACAGCCCTGTAGCCCATTGCAAGGACAAAGGTGCCTCAGCTTCATGTTTCTGAGATGTTCCCTCTTCCCAGTCCCACAATCCTAACACTGTGCTGTACAAAGATTCAGTGGGGAGAAGGGAGAGGAATGTCACACTTGGGTAAAACATTTTTGTAGACACTCAACAGCCTCCTGGATGCCTTGGAGCCTGCCCCTGGGCACCACCCGCTGGAGAGGAAACCAACACATTTAATCTCAAATTCTGGGTTCCAGGAGGAGACTGAAATTAGATACATGAGCACCTAATTCTTGATATTCCTAGGTCCTTCAGTAGGGCTACTCTTCTTTTGGTTTCCCATGTACTAAATGGGGATAAGTACATTCATGACTCACGGTGATGTCAAACTAACACCCATTAATAATTTATTAACTTTACCCATTAATCATGATAACTATTAAGAGCATTTCTGTGTGCATGGGATTCATGATACAAAGCACTGTCAACATTTTAAAAACCAAACAGGAAACAGCTTCAGACGTTTTTTCTAGGGCAGCACACTAACAACAGAAGCAATTAGTGAGGAGGAAGAAGATCGGGAAGGGAGTAAGTGTGGCTTTGTGTATTACAGTCACCTGATTTTCATATAATGACATCTTGGGAAAACCCAGTGATTACTGAAGATTGCATGGTTTGTGAAGCGGATAAGTTAATTTTTAAACCTTTTTTTGTAAGAATCACATGTTGAAATCATACCAGGCAGATGATGGCACTTAAAACTAACCCACGAGATTTGAACACCATCTTTTTTGGTGAAGCTCTGATCTCTTATGTACTACTATTGCCAGTTTGCTGTGCAAGCTTAAATTGATAAAAAAGGTATGGGCGTATGTTCCCTTTTGCAGCACCCAATACAAAACAGTGCTCTCCAGGGGGACAGATAATTAGATAACTGGATTGTCTTGAATCACCACAATCATATTTGACAGGCTTAACACTGAAGGCTCCAAAGCACGATCCAAGAAAAAAAGATCAGAGTAGCAATTTGAGCAGCTACTTCAGAGCAGTCATTTGCTCAAATGCAGTGGAACCCATCTATCTATTTATCCTTTAAAGGGGGTTTGGGGGCAACATCCCCCTCAGAAGGGTTCCAAAATATTCTACAGTAACATTGAGTACCCTCCACTCCCAATTCCTAGAGAGGCCTTCCTTACATTCTGGAGTGAAACCTCCCTCTCAAACTCTTGCATAGAGCTGTTCTGAGGAGACAGACAGATAAACCCACTACTGACAGAATTTTTTCTTAAAAAGTGGAATACACAGATACTGAATATGCAATGAGTACAAAAACTGTCCTATTTCTGCATCAGTCTGTGCTTGTATGTCTGTGAGCACAAGTGCATGAGAGAAAAAATAACAGCATCCCTCGCACTGGCTTGAGGACTCTCACATGGCAGACCAAGGGCTCGTTTTAGAAACTGTACTGTTCAAAGCCCAACCTCCTATAGAAACTTCCGTAGAAAAGCATTCCTCACAGAATTTCTAAGCAGGAAATAGCACAATGTGGATTGCTTGGAACAGAGGTCTAGAAGGCATCAATTCACCTTTCGAGTCATCCTCCTTCAGTGACTCCTACTACACTTGCAGGCAATCCAGCCCGCTAAGAGGGTCTGAGAGCAGCTGCTCAGTTGTTGCCCTCTACAGAGTTTGTTGCTTAACCCATCTCTTTCAGGGTCCAGACTTCTTCACCTCCCAAATCCCAAAGCTTAACTCAGCACTTAATTCCTCAGTAGATTTCTTGAGCAAACCATGACAAGCATAAGATGGGATCAATCAGCTATCACACAGTGCCCAGTCAGGTCCAAATAATCCAGCGTTAAGAGCTGAGCGATACAGATCTTTTTTGGTTATTATCGTTTCCGTGCATTTCTTTAATGATCACTTCATGCAAGCATCAAGCACAGACTTAAGCACTAATCATTACTAAAGTTACATGCTGAGATCATGCATAAGCCCCATTAACTTCAAAAGCTACGTGCGACTGTTTCTCATCTATTGTATAATACCCTTTCATGGTTAACACATCCCAGACCAGGTACCATTTTGTGATTAGTTTAGGCTCAGAAACTTTACGTACTCACGTCCTTACATACATGATCTATCTGCTGTAAGGAATTAACCACATGCAACCTGTGTCCTTACTAGACATCGTGTATCATCATCTCACTGATCAGCCATATTGCCACAAAATCACTGTTGACAAAGCTAAGCTTTGTGCTTTTCAAGCCTCTACAGCTGGTATTTCTTTCCTTTGGTGTTCTCTGTACTGTTTACACTTCTAGCTTGCTGACCCAGGTCTTAATATTATGGACATTTCATTATTTAATCCTGCACTGCAAAATCACTGAACTTCACCATAGAAGAATAACTTGTGCCTCACTACTCAAATTAGAATTTTCCAGTTCTTAAAGAATTTTTCAGTTTCAGCGAAAATAAAATTCTCAGATTTGTATTTTTCACCTCAAAGTAATATGGAGATCAAGAATGGAGATCTTACCAAGAGGACCGTTCAATGAGTTTTAATCTTCATTCAAGACAGAAAACACAGAAAGGCACAGAAGTAAAGACTTGCAGCAGACAGATCTGAGACTGCTCCTTCAAAATAAATTTAAACTTATTAGTACAAACAGGTCTCAACTTCCCCTTTTACCCAAACCAAGCATTACTACAAACTCCTTGTATCAGCACTGGAGTGCACGTGGCGTATTACAAGCCAGATGAAGGAAAAAGTGCAACTGAAGATTAACCAAAAAAAAAAACCCAGCAGTTTTAAAGTGACATGAAATCACAGACTCTGACTAGGATTTGCACTGAGTTTGTAATGAGTTCACGTGTGGAACTGCATAACCTCTGCCAGCGCACCATGCTGGAATCCTGACAAGCCCACATGTGTTTCCACACAGCACGCAACTATGTTAGACGTGATTTTTTATTTCCACAGCCTATTCAACATAATTAGGACTCGGAGATGAGTCCTTCTAAGGCACTCTTAAAAATGCTATTGGAACATTGCTTTCCTAATTTCATCCAACCGGATGAAAAACAAACAAAAAAAGCAGTTTCTAGTGCATTTAGAGAGTCTGTCCATTAGAAAGGAGATAAACTTGAAGCAAGTTTACTTTATGCTTCTAGTAGATTGATGTAAACAGGCAGCTGTGTACATCTTAAGCTGATTGCCTTCTCATAGTGATGCCTTAACGTTAGACAGAACCGTAAGCTAGAAGTCTAGAAAGAGCACGTGCAGCTTTCTGATGGACTTCTGATTCCGATTTCTTTTTCTTTTCTGATGGAAAAAAACCCCAAACCCATAGCACCTAGACCACCTTATCTGAAAGGATGCAAAAGTCAACATTAGAATTAAAATAATTTTATTTCAATGTACATGAACAGAAATAAAATATATATTTTTTTTTAAACAGAGATATATTGCTGTGCTGGCCCAATCACAAGTGTTCTCCAATACAAGGCAGCAGGACTAACTAGACTCACTTCACTGCTTTTCTGGACCAACTGGATTTAAAATACCACCTCAAAAGGGTCCTTCAGCACACAGCAAACTTTTTTGTTTGGTTGGTTTTTTTTAGACAAAAAGAAAACTCATCAACTCTTCACCTAGCCAGAAATTCTACATTGTGTTCCAAGGAAGATCTCCCTTGAAAATTCTGTCCATTACTTAAGAACAGTACACAGTATGCGGTGCTATATCTAAACTTAACAGATCAAGGTTTCTCCCAAATACTTTTCTCTATTCTACTCTCTTGTACAAAGCATCTGCTATAAAATCCACACGTTCAAAACCACAGAATTATACAAACCTGTCAACAAGGCTGCTTTCAGTATGCTTGTTGCTATGTGCTATTACCCGCTGTATCAGCTTTAACATGCAGCGTACATAGATGGTAAAAGGGCATTTCTCTTGGCCATCTATTTCAGAATTCACAGAAGTTAACGACTGTTCTTACAACTTATAGTGCAACGTAGTTAAGTTATTCAATATTATGATATGGCACCATAAGATAAGCAATCATTTCTTAAAATGCACGATTCCTTTACTAATAATTTTGTAGTGCTTTACTGATAAAATAAGTAATAATAAATTTGAAAAGACTGCTGGAAGAGGAACTGAGAGGGAAAAATATTTTTGAAAAGTGTCTATCATTGCCTTAAATAAAGAAAATCAGAAAAAACATGGAACTGTCAGATTCAAGGAAAACAACAGGAAGTTGTTCTTCACAAAACACAGTTAAACTGTGGACTCCTTGTCATATGATGTGGATGCTGGGATACTATGAGGATTTAAAGAGATCTTTTTTTTCCCCCCTACTACTTTAACCAGCAAATGCTCTCAGATACAGAGTTCCCCAAACCCGAGATTTCTTAAAGTATATTCTAGGGAAGCATTGCTGTCTGCTCACCCTGTTTTTAGTCTTCCTTGTGCATCTGCTTTTGGCCACTGACACTGGATGCTGAGCCAGAGGGACCTTTGGTCTGACTTGGTACAGATGTTTCTAACAGTTATTTCAAATCACTTCATAAACTTACACTTAAGACATAGTTCATCATTTGCCACTATTTTGCCATTATTTAGTTAGAAGGACTCCGATTTTTAAATTACAAATGACTTCCAAAAAAGGAAAAAAAAAATATTTAAGCTTTTTTCTGCTATGACTCAGTTGTATAAAACTGTATAGAAAAATGAGCATTATGTGCAGATGTAATGAAAAGCAGTAAGCTTTATAAAAAACATTCTTAGAAATGTACCAAGCATAAACAAAAGATGATTTACAAATACATTTAGTTGTTCTTCTAGTCATCATCAGAATCTGAATCGTATTTCTTTCCTCTGATGGTCTTCTTCTCCAACTTTGTAAAGCTTGTTCCGTATTTCTTTTGACTTTGAAAAGGTGGATCCATCAAGTTTCCACTAGAGAAAAAGAGTAAGACATGTTGACTAAAGGCACATTCATGCAGACAGTAAGCAGCACCTCTAATTCCGTGTTTCTCCAGAAAAAAACTGAAAGAGAACACAACCCCTACTCCCTAAAGCCACCCTAAGTAGCATTGTGATGTGGCTAGCATAGCACATCCTGGACAAAATGGCCTCAATAACTGTAGTTAAGACAGGAGGGTGAATGGATTACCCAGGACTGCATCCAGGTGGGTCTTGAAGATCTCCAGAGAAGGGGACTCCACAACCTCCCTGGGCAGCCTGTCCCAGTGCTGTCACCCTCACCGTAAAGAAGTTTTTCCTCATATTTGAGTGGAACTTCCTATTTTCCAGCTTGTGCCTATTGCTCCTCGTCCTATCGCTTGGAACCACTGAAAAGAGTCCGGCTCCCTCCTCCTTTAACCCACCCTTTAGATATTTATAAGCATTAATAAGGTCTCTCCTCAGCCTTCTCTTCTCCAGGCTCAACAGTCCCAGCTCTCTCAGCCTTTCCTCATAAGGGAGATGCTCCAATCCCTTAATCACATTTGTTGCCCTACACTGTACCCTCTCCAGTAGTTCCCTGTCTCTCTTGAACTGGGGAGCCAGAACTGGACACTGTATTCCAGTTGTGGCCTCACCAGTGTGGAGCAGAGGGGAAGAATGACCTCCTTTGACCTACTGGCCACACTCTTCCCTATGCAGCCCAGGATTCCATTGGCCCTCTTGGCAACAAGGGCACATTGCTGGCCCATGGATAGTTTACTATCCACCAAGACCCCCAGATCCTTTTCCTCTGAAGTGCTTTCCAGCAGGTCCACCCCTAACCTATATTGGTGTCTGGCATTCTTCCTCCCCACGTGCAGGACCCTACACTTGCCCTTGTTAATTCCTATCCCACAGGTCGAAGGAAAAAAACTGTTTCTAGGCTCTTAAGAGGACTATCCCTTTTTAGGAACTCCAGAGAGCAAGACATTACATTCAGAGCAGGGTGGAAATACAACACTTGAACATAAATGGATGTCTCCTGGAATGAATCTCCTGGGCTTTGCAAAGCCCAGGTACCAAACTCAGGATCTGGCAAAATGAACAGAGATTGAAACAACACCCTCAACTCCACAAGGAGATAAGAGCAGATACACAGTACTAGCAGAGTCAAGTAGGAAGTAAAATTATGCTGTAAGCCAATGTACTAACGTAGGAAATTCAACACAGCTTGGTACAACTCCACTGAAAGATTCCTCCCATGAAAGGCAGCTGATGTCTAGAATATATACACAAGCTGCCTTTTGCCTCCTCTGCATATTTGCTTGTTACTGACTTGGGAAATGGCTATTACCACTTGTTTTGATTTACAAATTTTCATTTCACCTGAAGTTCAACAGCTACTAAGCTAAATTGAGCAGCAGGTTTTTTTCTGCCTTTAAGATACAACAATACTTCTTGCCAAAATTTGGAAATTAGACATTGAAATAAATTCAGATAATGAAGTTTAAAATAATAAAAAAAAGCGCCAAAGACATTCAAAACAAAAGAGCAAAATTAACCTAAAAAGATAAAGATGATGTTTTAGCCACACTGGAAAGCAAAGCAGAAAGTTCTCGTAAATGATTCTCCTGTAAAGTCAGGCTGTTGTGGTGACAGTTATCTTCTACTGCCTTCTATCCTGCAGTCTTAAATGTGGGATTTATGATGATTATATTGCATTGCTACAGCAATAATTTTTTTGCATTTCTGCAACTTCTTTTCGCTTTCTGTACTGTTCATTGGAATAAAAAAAAAACCCACAAACATATTCATGCATGTAATATGATGCAGTTTAAAGATGACTTGCTGAGTTTTCTCTGAAGTGGACTAGAAATGCTCAAACTGTACTGCATTGCAAGTGTGACATCTAAGCATCTATAGCTGATTTAGATAGGATTACATTAGATGCATGACTCCCAGGGGCTGTATCAGAGCCATCCATCCATGTACTCCATACATCCCACCACAAGAACTCATTATTACTGTACAAATAGGACAACATAACACTCATTATAATGTCTCAATACTTTGCTGGAGATACTCTCTTCCTTCCCATGCCAAAGTACACAGATTAAATAAACGGATTAAACTCTGATGAGTCTTAAGCATACAGCATAGCAGTCAAAGTTACAAACTTTTACAGATTTTCCTGTTTGCAAGCATGTTCTCCTTGCACTGTATCTGAAAATAAAACAATCACAAAACAATTAATTACCTGTAATTAATTACGTCCGCACAGCCTAGCCTCCATTCTAATGTCTCTGTAGTGAAGTCATCAGTGTTACCAAGATCAGTAAAGCCCACAACATAGTCTTGCGTTTTTCCATCTTTTACTAGTGCTAGAGTGGGGATTACTTTGATGCGCAGTCTCTCACACAAGAAAGGAGATTTTTCAGCATTTAATTTCAAGAATTTTGTCTCAACATGTTTTTTTGCCAATACAGTCAAATGTTTGTCCATTATTTGGCATCTGTGAAAAAAAAAACAAACCAAAATATATAAAGTATTAGAATCAATAAACTGAAGAATATGTATTTTAGAGAAAGTTTAAAAGGAATAGTAAAGAGCTATTTCTATCATATTAATTCCTCAGATAGGGCCTTTGTAATTCAGAATTTAGTTTCAGGAGAATCCATGTTTCAAAGGTAGCTGGACTTAATGACTAGGAAAATAATGCCTTGAAGCACCTTTGTTGTATAATGACACCATCTATTTCTCTAATTTCTTCTTAATTACTCCCGCATAGACCTGAAAGCCTCTCTCTTGAAGCCTGCATTTATTGATGAAATTTCCTTCTTCCTGCTCTAGCTTCACTGCCTGTCAGCTGGAAAAAATTCTCTATAACAAACATTCACATCTCAAGTACTCTCAACATACTACAGCGTTTTGCTTTTTGGTTTTTTTCAGTCACCACCTCCAAAACCAAGACGCAGTAACTCACTGAACAGAAAAATACCAGTTATTTGTACAGACTGCTTCAGTAGAGCTAGAGGCAAAAATATTTCACTTTTCTGTTGCAATGGAATAGGAGTGAGCATACAATTATTGTTTCTCAGCTAAGGGACAGTGTGGGGAGTGAGGAGTTGTGGAGACACGCTGCTGAGCGAGAGCTCGGCAGGTGTTCTTGCAGTGATGGGAAGGAAGCCTTAAGAACAGTAAAACAGTGTCTTTATATGGTATTATCTGTATGGTGTGAAATCTAGCAAGGCAGCACAAATAATAAATAGTGAGGTATACAACAGATAGCACGTGGACACTTAAATGTAGCCAACTGTATTGCTCATAACAGCGCGTGGACAGGCCCCCACAACCTATCTGTGTAGAGAGCCCAGCGCGTGATCAAAAGGGAGAAACCATATATGCTGTAAAAATGAAGCATTAAACGTCTTCGCTTCATCACTTGGCGGAGTCTGTGCCATTTGTTGCCAGAGGACAGTACCATAAACTGCTCAAAACATTTGTCAGATGACAGAGATTTGTGGGCCTGTCACCTGCAATCTCAACTTCTTGGACTGTCGTCTTTAAATGGTTTGGAGTAGCTGCATGAGCTCTGTGATGTGACTGTCCTTTAACTCAAGAGGAGAGCTGAGCAGATCAAAAAGCTGCAATGGGCAAGGATGAAAGCAACTCGACATTGCAGCTGGTAAACCTGACACACTAGCTTCAAGCTGGTTGTCAGCATGACACATTTTACAAAGAACTTTAAAGATAAAGTTATTTTTCCTGTCTGAGTCTACAGACTTTGTTGGTTCAGTAAACAAGAACCAAACAACTCAAACCTGTTCTAAGCTACTTTATTTGCAGAGACAGTCTTTCAACTTGAGTAAAAGCTATCCAAATACAACCGCTTCAGATATTCATGAAACTTAATCGTTTAACTTAGAAAATGTAAGACACAGACACCTCACTGCATAATCTGGCTTTGACCTCTTTCCATTTCTCACATTAAGGCTGTTTCAGTTTATGTTTTATAGCTAGAGAGAACATAACGCCTTGGCAGCAAAAACCAACCAAAAACAGGACAACTGGCTCCTCCTTCAATGAACTACTCTACTTTGCAACTGCATTTTAACAGAAGACCTTGAGACAGAGCCACTGAGGAACAGCCTCAACAACCCAGAACTTCTAAAGTTCTTCCAAGGAAGCGGGAGATCTTATTTTAGGTTCCTATTCTGAGGCAGGACAAGTTCTCAGATCTAGGTCTCCCACACCCTAAAAAAGTGGCATAATCACAAAGGCACAGGAACAAAGGGAAAGTAGCTGCAATTGGTATCCACAGATCTTTTCAAAATAAAAGGTTAAATTCTGAAGATGCCTAAACAGTTGTTTATATTTTTATTTTTGTTTGCCAGAACTGTCCAGAATATCTCTGTCTAGAATAACCAAAGTGATCTTTTTTAAATGCTCCTCTTGTATGGTCGCTACTTTTATAGACCTGGCTTCCTCAAACTAAACCAATGATGAAACACAGCACTCTCCAATATCGTCAAAGATATACATTTGTATTCTAATCAACTACATAAGAGAGTATCCATTGTTGTCAAGTCATGTTCAGATTAACTGCAATGGAAAAAAATATTTTAAAAAAATCAAATCTTGAGAAGGGAGTGAGATTTGGAAAATGAAGGAAATGGTATACTTCTAAAGATGCCTATTTATCTCTAGGATTTGAAAGAACAATAGAACGTGTCTGTTTTTGTTGACATCTATAAACAAAAGGTTTCCTGAGCATAGCTCATTTACTATACCTGAACGTTGTATCTCTATAGAAATGGCAAACCACATTTTTACTTTCTTTGACTTCTTGGAAAAAGTCTCTCTCACTTGGGATTTCTCTGTATTCTCCATGTCCTTTTGAAAGCCACTCCTTTTGGAAAACATAAAAGGAAATAATTAGTATGGAGTTTGTTAGTCCTGCACCTGTCACGCAAGCTCTACAGCTTTTAAGAAAAATAAAAGAGGGGGTCTGCAGTGGAAGCCCATTTCATACAGTAATAAAAGGAGAAACAAATTACTTCCCCCTTTAGTTCCGTTTTGAAAACAGCAAATGCCACTAGGCTAGACAATAGTTTGGGGCTGCCTCTTTCTCAACAACAGATAAGTGGTTGAGCAGTAAGGCTACCTTACTTATTTGGAAATACAAATCTTACACAGAACTACATAAATTTCTGCAGTGCAGCTTCTCAGTAAGACTAGACTAGTTCAAAGGGAACACAGCAAGGACAGAAAATTCTCAGCATCTGAAAACTGCTAATCAATAGTCTGGGCTACTCTCTCTAAAATGTTTTTGTACACTCAAAGAACTTTTGTCTAAAACTGATTCAAGCCATTACATGTATTAAAATAGCTTTCTTGTAACTTTTTCTCTATGAAAAAAATCAGGGAGGAAAAAAGCCACCTGCAAAAAAGAAAAAAACTCACCTGCAACAGATGATGTTTATCTATTAAATATACACTGAAGGTACCTTAAAACGAGCCAGGCTTCCAGAAAACCATTCAGAAACCACATGCACACCATTAGTCACAAGATGTACGGAGAAACAGAATTTTACAAGCTAAAATTCATAGGCAACTTCAAAAACTGCCTGATTAAGTGTGCAAATGTGGTTTAGAAAAAAAGCTAATCTAGATTTTCAACAAAGGCACTTAAGTGCAGCTTTACAATTAACTTCCAGTATTGTAGGTGTATTAAAACAAGTACAGACTAAGCAAAATGGAAGTAGTGCAGTATGACACAACCTGACAAAAACCCTTTAATATCCAGTGAGTGAACACGAATTTAGATAAATCACTGTTCTTGGTCTTGCGGGGGGTGGTGGAGAGGGGGGAGGATTTCCAAGCAAACCAGAAATATCCTGTAAGCTAAATTAGTATAGAACTAAGAATTTCCTGAACATTGTACACATTAAAAATGCATAGAAGTATGAGCACATGGAGAAGTCATCATGGTGCAAATGAAGAACTGACATCCCTCAACAGTGGGTATGCATTAATTCCCCTCTGTGCAATCCAATTCCAGAATAGTGTGGCAGCTTACTCCTTTTACAGGGAGAGCATCTCCTTTCAACTCAGTCACCTCTTCCCCAACCCAGTCTATTTCTCTGTTCAGGTTTGCTTAGATGGAGTAAGCTAAGAAACCTATGGCTTCCTTACTTACAATTGAGGTCTCACACCATATATTACCAAAATTTTGGTGAGAACTATGTTCAAAGAGACTTTTTTGGGAACACAAAGAACACAATTTAGCACTAGGTATCAGGGATCAAAGCAAAACTTCTTTTTTGCAAGAAGAAATGAGCAATCATACAACGACACTTCATTTAGTTAGAAGGAGCAGGACAAACAATTCCACCCTAGGAACAAGGAAAGACTCTATATCATTCTTCTACAAAATATCTTAAGAGGTTACATGCCATAAGTAACAATCTTTAGAAGCTTAAAGAGCCTAGAGGCTTATGATTAGGTTGCCTACAAGGCTTCCAAATGGCAATGTTCAGTGAATATGGACACACTCATATCTTTGTATGAGACTCTTTGTCCTATCCTAATCATATCGTAATCATCTTTTCTCCTCCTGTTGGAAAACAAAGCATGCACACATGGACAGAAACTTGCTTTCCTGGAGAGTTTAAAAATAATAAGTACAGAAAGGTGAGGAAGAAGAAAAAACCCCAAAATATGCAGTTCACATACACAGTTTCCCTAGGATTTCCAAAAATTCTGTTGGACTATACACATCAAGATGTCTACATAACTACAGGAATTACTTGTTTCTGCTGCTGGGCCTTTTTCAGTGCCTCAAGCCTCCTTTGTTTAAGGCGTTCCAATTCATCTTCATCCATTTGGTCCAGCTTCTGTATTTCAGCATCCAGATGTTCTTCCACAATCTTGGTAGTCTGAAGCATTTCATTCTCCAGAACTTTTTGAAGTATTTCAACAGAAGTATCAGCCGCCATCTTTAACTAGAAAGTGATCTTTTCAAAGCTGTAGAAATAGTAATACATGGAATTAATATTTATACCAACACCTAACTAAAAGCCTGACCTCTCTTACTTTACTATTCACACTGTAGAGAAACAAAATACTATGCTATTTGAAGACAGCAGCAGATAGTTCTTTTCTATATTGCAATGCCCTTTGGAGAATACTTTCACAACAAACACAAATGGCAACAAAGATACTAGTGAAGTCCTATTCTCTCAATTGCAAAGGCAGCTGTTGAAAGTGTCCAGACATCTAATATTACTTGTTGATATAAAGAGATAAAAATTACCAGGTCCAAAGGAATACTTATCCCAAGCCAGACCCATGTACCTTTAATAAATATTCTGAAACTAGAAGATGGAATGAGAAAGCTCCAAGCTACTGGGAGGAGGTGTAAGATATCTCAGAGTAAGTCTAAGCAATGTTCAGTACATAACTTTCCAACAGTAGTTTAAATGCAATTATTTTAAATACCTGATGCATATTAACATATTTAAATCTGAACTGACACTCCTCTCCTCAGCTGAAAGGCACTAAATAGCAAATGCTTTAGGCCAATACACTGCTTCAATTAGTACAAGAAAACTGCTATTGCAAACATCACTCTATGGCAGCTAGCGAAAGGATTTAAAAAAACCCCAACAACCACTACCTAATTGCTGTGTGAAGAAACACAACTAAAATAATTTTCTGTAAAGTTTCCCTTGCCCTAGCGCTTCAAAAAAGCACAAAATACTAAGAATGAGGTTCATGAAGAGCTGGGGTAACATAATCGATTGTTCTCCCCAATAGACTTTCACTACAAAAAGACTATCGCTATAACAAGTGACAGCTTTGAAATGGGGACAGCGCAGAGTCACCCTAACCAGATTCTCAACCTGCAGGACACATATTAGATGTGCTGAATTTGGGCTCTGGAGTACTCTTGGCTGCATTTCGAAACAGCCAAACTATAAATCCAATGGCACTGGTAAAACACCTCGCATTTTAAGTAGCGATGGGCAAAGTACCAACGTCAAGGCAGTACTCCAAGTGCACTGCAACACCACGTGTCACACGTGTCACTGCCACACTGCTCTGACCTGCGGCACCTCCTCTTGACTCCCTCTCCCCGACGCCGCTAACTGAAAAATCTCTCCATTAGCGCTTTCTATCCCCCTTCCTTGTGTTTCCAGAGGAAATAACAACTTCGCTAGCGCAGGCCAGAGGCCACGAGGTCTTCAGGAGCGGGAGGGAAACCTACTCAGCTGGGGCAAAGGGAGTCTCATCCTCCAAGCGGACAGGAAGGAAAACGGAAAGTCAGTCCCAGCCAGGCCACTACAGCCTGAGGTCCCAGAGGGCTCCCGGCTTCCCAAGCCAGGGAAGCCGAGGTGCCAACAAGCGTTTTCTACACTGAGGGGCCCCTACGCCCACGGCCCACTCCCGGGGGGCTCCGCACTGCTGCCGGGGGCCGCGAGTGCTACCCGCCCCACAACTAAGGAGGAGCAACGGGGGCCCGGCCGGCACGGCCCGCCACGGCCCCGGGTGGCGCCGGCAGACAGCGGGACACCGCGCAGGCGCCGCGCGCCTCCGCTGGGCCGTTATGGACAACGATCGCCCGCGCACCCACCCACCTACCTACCTACCTACCCAGCTCCTGACGAGCTCTCTAGAGAAAGCCTCACCCTCCTTCCAGCCACGCTGCCCGCCCCACCGCGCCACACCACTCACCCCCCAACTCCCCTCACGGCACCGCTTACCCCTCTCCACCGCTCCGCGCCTCTACCCGCCCCGCCCGCCCGGCCGCGCCCCTCTAGCCTCGCGAGACGCGAGAGCCAGGGCGGGGCCGCCGCCACCGCCGCCACGTGCGCGCGCACGCACGCAGAGCTCGCCCAACGCCTTCATTGGCCGGAGCGGGAGGGGGAGAGGGCGACAGGGAGGCGCAGAGCGCGCATGCGTGGGAGGGGGCCCTGTTGCGCCGGCGGGAGAGGCGGGGCCCAGATGAGCCCCGCCCCTTCCGCGCAGCAGCTGCACCCCGCCCACCCACCTCCCGTCTCCCTAGCAACCACGCTCTGGGCGGGTCTTGGCCGGGAGGGGGCGTGTCCTGCCCCGCCCCTCACCTCAGCGTGCGGGGCGGGTGCGCAACGGCCGTAACGGCTGCCGGCGGGAGCTGGGAGGGCCGGCCGCCGCCTTTCGGGGGGTGTGTGTGTATGTGGGGGGGAGGGGGCTTCTTCTCGGGGTTGGGCGTGTGAGGCCGAGCCCCCGCAAGCAAGTCGGGGCGCGGCGGGGGAGTAACGGCCGGGAGCCGCGGGGTGGGGGCCGGGGCCGGGCCCGGTCCCTCGAGCGATGCCGTGAGGTAAGGGTTGCCTCGGCGAGGGGCCGGCGGGCGGCGGCGTGGCTCGGACCGTTCCGGCGGTGTGGTTGAGAAGAAGCGGCCGTGTTGGAGTAGCCGGGGTTTGTCGTCTCTTTGCTGTTCTCGGAAGCGCGCTAGAAGATCCGCGGATTTCAATAATGGAGTATTAAATTTTTTTTTTTTTTTTTTTTGAAAAAAAGACGAGTGTTCTGCGTTTTTTTTTCCTGGAAATGTGTCTCCCCGGTCCTGAAGATGCTGGTGAGGAAGGTGGGGCGGGGAAGATAAACTCTTGTCTTTCTCCGGCGTCTGCTGGGAGGCGGGGTGGGAGAGGCTGATAAGGAAGGAGCTGCAGCCGTGTGAAGGCGGAGGGAAGCAGGGAGGCTTTCGGGGGAGCGAAGCCAGATAGAGGTGGCGGTCCGGAGGCTGAAGAGAACCGTGAGGCGGAGCTCTGCCCGCTCCAGGAATCGCTGTAACGATTGTAACGGGGCCAAAACTCCCTACAAAAAGAGGAACCTCCGTCTCCCCGGCCGATGT